TTGTGGACCCCTGGATATCCAAAAAAAAAACCCTCCGCACTGCTCCCTTGCAAAGTAGAGAACAGCTGAATGAGTGATACATGGTGCTGCTGACATATCTGTGACGCCACATGCTGCACAGCCACAGTTGTCTGGATGCAGCCTGTGAGTGCACAAGCAAAGAGCAAAAGGTCAGGGAGCGGGTAGCACACCCATCTGGGCAGAAGTATATCTTTTGTAGACATGTGTGACCTCCAGAGCTTTTAAAGGGCCATCTGTACCCTTAGGAATGTCACCTAGTATCAGAATAGCACCAATTACAAGGGTCAAACTTGCTCCTGCTTCTCCCCTAGCTTGGAACCTGGTACTGTACTTTGTTCCCACTTACCCTGTCATGTGCTCTAGACTCCCTAAATCCTGACCTCTGGCCTGCCAGGGGACATGGATAATTGCTATGGACATGGATAATTGCTATGGACCAGGAATGTGATTCTGACTTGCTGCTTATGACCTCTATGTGCAGCCTCAGCCCCGATCCAAATTTCACGTAAGCTGAGGTAACTAGTTTAACCCTATGTTTCTCAACACCGCTGATGAATCCTTACAACCACCATAGTACCTGAATACCTCAACTTCTCTGAGGTAGGAAAGTTTCTTTAAAAAAAAACAAACCCAAAACCAAAAAAAACCTCCCTTCCCCCCCCCCCCAAAAAAAAAAACCCCAAAAAACCAGATGGCAAACTCAATGTTGCACAAGCCACACATGGTGTCTCCCAATCTTATACCTTTCCTATTAGACCATCCTTCTCAGACACAACTACAAAATGAGAAAGAAATAAGAAGTAATAATTTAGAAGGTATGTAACTTGGATCAAGGGAATGTTTACATGCTACTCTTCCACAATCCCCAAGAAGGCAAACCCGATGCATGAAATACACAAAGTGGAGCATGCTTTTAGTTTTATGCATGACAAAAAAGCTAATTTTAAAATGCAAAAGGAAGATGGGAGGGGGGTGGAGATTCAAAATTATGTCAAGAGTAAACAAGCTAGATTTATATTTCTGGCATCATGAACAGTCAGGATTCCTACCAACATGACAGACTATTAGATTCCAGCAGACAAAACAGGAAAAAATGCTTATGATTCATGGCAGGCCCCATTAATTTAAGCAACTGAATACATGACAGAATCACCGAACAAATGGCATAGCAAGTTTATAAAGGGAAGCTGGTTTATAAAGGGAAGCCACTATCTTGAAGGTAACCTTTCACATATACCATCCAGGTGAATCGGGCAATCCTTTTGGCTGTAATGGAAAAGATCACTATAGGCCAGTCTCATAAAGAAGTTATGCACTGCTAATGCAAATAGATTTTTTTTTCTTATAAGCATTCAATGCACTTCTCTGAAATAAAGTATAGTAGGCACTTCATTGGTTTACCTCACCCTTTCACCCCATAACACAAAACAGCCAACTTTCCATTAGTCATTGCTAACTATGCAATCAACTAAAAAGAAAATCTCACTTTTAGCTATGCAGCAATTAAAAAAAATTAACATATTTCCTAAAAAGGTCAAGTGTATTATGGCTGCTTCATGATAAGAGAAAACTATTAGTATTACTCTGCTACCTGAATGCATTTTTCCCATAATTACACCATTGATAACCAAATTAAACCAAGTACCAGCTTTGTTATAGAAACTGTAAACAAGCTATACATTTCTGTCTTTCCTGAAACTGGGGGAAAAAAGAAAATAATCTGCATAAATAGACTCCTGAGTACTGAACTGTCATATGAAAGGAAATGGGAATTTGATACATTTTGAAAGCATGTTTCAAATTAAATAAATAATAAATACGCTCAATACAAATACTGCCAGAGCAGTGGAAAGGGGTATTAGTATAGCTGCAAATCAGGCCCTGGGATTCTAACAAGTCGTCACAGAGTTGGAAATCCTAAAATCAACAGAATATATATTACTGTTCTTCAGAGAAGATAATGCAGCATAATTGGGCTAAATCTGCTAAATAATGGTTATCCTCTGTAACTAATCAGGAAAATTTTAAATCAGTAGCAGACTAAATGCTTACTCGTATATTAGAATGTGCTCGGTCTCAAAAATATAATCTGACCCTACAGAAATCTAAAAAGACTGGAAGACTGAGGTTAGTATGAAGTAAAGTACACTCTTCATCTTCAAACACCAAATATCCTTTGCTAGCTCAAAGACCAGCCCTTAAAATAATAAAGAAATAGTATACACAACTTTTATTGTACATAGACATTTTACCAATGAAAGAAAATGAGAAAAGCTTTGAAAAGAACAATAAAGGATTCCATGTAATTTCATAGAAAATTGCTCTAGCTGAGCTCATTCTGAAAAGTAGATGGAAATATTAAAACTGAATGAAAGAGAATCATGTAGGACTTGAACAAAATTATCAAATAAGGATTTATGGAAACTGTCAGGCAAAAACATATTTCATCCCCAACTGTACTTTCATTGAGATCAAAAGCAACATTGTATTGACTTCAATAGGTACAAAATAAGGCCTTTGATTATCTGACATTCACCCATGTTGTATATATTTCTCCCAACAATAAACAAACTGATTATGAAGCTGACAAATTCAATGTAGTATCAGATGCTAGGAAGTATGCTTACCATACTTTCTATAAACAAATGCAATATGTTTGTCGGATGTTTTTTTCTGTGATCAGTCAAGCATCTTTAAATTTATTTCTATTTACACACACACACAAGGCAGTGGTAATGTAAAGAAGAACTTTAGTAGAGAATTTCGCTTGTAAATTGTCATTTTCTTCCTTTGCGCTATATGAAATCCTTATAAGTACATACACATCTACAAAGTAACTCAATCTCCATTTAACCTTGTAACATAGTATAAAAGTTGCATGGAGGACCAAAATTGGTCACTAAGGCCTTAACACACATGCTGGACATCTGCTCTGATGCATGCTGATCAGCACATGTCCGAGCAGACTTGATTAATCAAGTCTGCTGGAGAGTGCTAATTAGCACACTCCAGCAGCCTCCTTATCATGTGTATTCAACATCCCCATGCTTCAGAATGGCAGCAGGGGACACTTTATAGCTAAAGCTCATTGAACAAGCTTTAGTTAAAGTGCCCCCACTACCATTTTCAAGTGCGGGGTTCTGAATACACATGATGCTGTAGGTGCTTTAATTAATTAAAGTGATCCCCCCCTTTCACTCCAGAACATGTGTAATGTAAATCATGATAATCCAGATCATATATTGTAAATATTATTATACTGATAATGATACATTCTTTAAACTGCTGGGACAGAGCATTTCCTAGCATACAATGATGCTACCGTGGACTCAAGTCATCATCAGGCAAAACAGTTCCAGAGCTCATGGCTACTACACAATAGCCTTGTAAAACCATCATCTTAAAGCATTCTATGAAGCTGTTCATGAAATGTGTCCTAATGTCCCTAGTTCATCCCTGTATGTCAGACAGAACAGCAAATGTAAGTGAGATGGAGGGAAAAGTTGACTCTTGAACCTGAGAAAGCATGGACTGAAGTAATGCTTATAAATATCTATTTAACAAAAGTTTTCATCATGTAGCATATTCTGATTTTTTTTTTAAGTTTATAGTTATGCTCCTGCCTTCCAGCTGTCATCTGTTCTGCATTGAAAATATTTGTTAAGTTTGATATTTTCACTCTAATTTCTCTAGGGTAGGAACTCTTAGATTTGTCATTCAGGCATGCCCATCTGGCACCAACTTGCTTAGTATGAAATTCCTTTCCTTACACCTCCCCTTTCTGTAGTTTTTAAAGTATTTCTTTCCCTTCCCTTGCCCCCCTTAATAATATAGCTACCAAAGTTCAACACAGGAATTAACCTTCTAAATCTGTGCAGCTTGTTCCCTTCTCACTCATTCTCAGTGTGGCTTCCTTCTCTTTCACGTTAGGGGATCAATTTGCGTTTTCCTAGATTAGTCTCAACCCTGTTTTGAGCACAGTTGCCACGTTTCTGTATTGACAGCCATGCTGGACTTCATACAAATGAAGCCAGCTGCATCACTAGTCATTTCAATAATTTTGGCCCAGTCTTCAACACTTTAAGAGAAGACTTGTCAGTTATGTGTTGCCAATATTTACTGTGTAATTCTAATGTCCCAGTTATGCCATTCTAATCCTGCTGCATAAAAAAAAAATGAATCTGCTGTTAGCATATTTTTAGCCTTCACCAATGTAAATGTTATCCATCAAATAGAACTTTAATGTTCTCACTGCTTTGCCATTTTCTCCCTATTTTCTATTCATGGTCATAATACCGTGCCACGCCCCCCCATACCTCCTCCACCACCAAGTATTCTGATAGCACCAAAGAAAGCATCTTAACAATTCTTAGCAAATGGACTCATTACAAGCCCATTTTGTTAAAGTCCCCAACACCGTCTTTTATGGAATCTCCTCATGCCATCTGTTAAAAGTGCTCAGAAAAAAAGGTAGAGAAAAAAAGAAACCCACTGTACTGAGACTTCTGAAAAGCACACGTAGGAGTCCTGAATTATAAAAATTTGTAACTGTTAATATATGCAATGTTCTCTACATTCTCTGTTTAGCAAATTCCACAGAGAAACCAAACCCACTTGAGTTTAAAGAACTGCTTCTCAAGAAGCAAAGTTTTCTTCCTTTCATTTTAAAGGAGACTCTATTGAACCTTATCTGTGATAACTGCATGCACTCTTGATCAAAGATATTGATTGCCAATGTAAACAAAAACAGCAGTGATAACGTGCATATTCATCACATAATTGAAGCCACAAAGGGAACATCAAAACAACTACAGAGCACTTACTGTAGCAGAAAGTTGTGGTCCATTCAACTGAGCGTGCAGGATGGCCTCATTGACTGAGTTCCGGATTTGCAGAAGTGCAAGTTCCAGATCATGCGACCCAGACATTTCATTCATCAGATATTCCAGCGTGGAGATGTATTCCCTCCATTGTCTATCCAGTTCTGACACACTGGCCAAACACCCCCTCATTACATTTAGACAATATCCAACACAAGGTCTGATTAGTGTCAGGCCTTGACAATGTGGACAGTACTGCATCTTCACTAGAGCTTTGCTACATTCCTTTGTGAGGGCAGCATGTTCAGTAGTATTTATCACTTCAGTGCCCATATTTAGGGCCTGGCTTAGCATCCTACTTGCCCAAAGGGATTTTGACAGCTCTGTAACCATGTCTTTAGAGTAATGTCCAAAGGGATTTATATCTTGCCTTGTTAGTCGCAGACACTCTGTATAGTCCTCTGACAGATCTGTAATTCCTGGGTTTATTAGCCGACTGTACACCAGAGGAAAGAGACTGTCGAAGAACCGTAAAACTGCACTTTCCACTGTAGTTTCTGCGCCCAGAATGTAGAGAGAGAGATCTGTAAAAAGTTCTTTGACAGGCTCAACAGCTTCTTTTGCCATAGCTCGGTAAGCTGTCTCAAACAGGGAAGTTGTGTGATTCTCAGCAAAGCGAAGCAAGGACTCAAAGGCCTCTGTAACAAATAGAGACATGAGGGAATGATAGGAAAGTGTTTTTTTTAACTGATCAGTGCACAGGAACATTGTTAGTTTTATAATTTTACCAGGTATAATGCTCGAGCAATCTAGGCTTTTTAGGGCCTGATCCAAAGCCTGTTGAAGTTAATGAAAATATTCCCATTCATTTAACTGTAGACAGTAACAGGCTGGATAAGACTATGCCACTTTAGTGCCTGCTGTTGCATGTAAGCAGGACAACTAGATACGTTTACAAAGAATATTATTATTCACCAATAACTGACACCCCTTTCCAGTCCACAATGAGCACTGCAACATTCCAGTTATCTTGTATAAGTTACTATGGAAATCAGGCATAGAATTCTTCAATAGGAAAACCCTTTTGATGAGACATGTATGGTGCAAGTTATGTGGTGGGTAAAAAATGATAGTAGAAGGATTTCTCCCTGATTAAAAGTACTGTAATTTTGAGACCAGTTCGATAGTAATGGCTTTATCAGACCATATTAGCAATTTTATAATATTTGCATTTAATAAAAGACAGCGAATATTCCTTGTGCAGTCTTGTCATGCAGCAGCCTGTAACATTATCAGTCAGTGATGAAGCATAATAAAGTTTTTTTTTAAACTCTAAGTGAAAACTAAAAATCACTAAAGTGATAATATATCAGTCCACAGGTATTCTGATTTTAGCTCGCTCCAGCACATCTCAAATATTACCACATTTGAAATAACTTAATTAACAATTTAGAAACTTTATACCATGCAATTTAAACACTCCATGTTTCTGTAACCATAGGTTCATGATTAATTTGCTTCCTGTCTCACAATCTACATGCTGTGGAAATCCTGTGTCAAAAATACGGAGAAATAAGTCATTTGCAACCCTCTAAAAGGTCCATAAAAACATACTGTACAGTTGTTCTGATTTGGACAGCTAATATAGAAAGTAAATACATGCTATAATGAAGATTTAGGCAAGGCTGACATACAAAAAACAACTTCAGATAGGCCCAGACAGCAGCTCAAAGAGAACTTGAAAGATAAGTGAATATGAAATAAAAGTTGAAGCCTCTATTCCATAATGCTGTGACCAGAGTGCTAAGGTGTTCCTTAAGACTATTTCAGGGATGCAGGTTACAGAATGAAATGTGAGCACACTGTACGATGTACAGCTATCCCTCACAATGTGGACTCTGTGTTAACCTCTGCTTGACCTGCTTTCAGGTTGACACGTGAGAGGACTATAAGAAACAGTTTTTGAAGAAATTTGCAGGACAAGAAAATGAAATTACAACCAAATGAAACAATTTATCTACTTTAATCCCCATCAAATCTATGATTAAGCTAAATGTCATTTTAGATGACTTCTAAACCTTTTAAAATTGTATTAGACAAACTCTCTATGCGCGAGTCATCACTGTGGACTTCAATGGTTGGAAGGGGAAAAAAGTTATGACACCAACTTTGAATGATACAGCCAATAAGATTGCCTCTCCTCCCCCCCCCCCCCCCCCCATCATAGAGAGGGGATAATCTGGCAGATAAGGATTTGTTACCTTGATTTATTGTCACTGGGACATCACCATGTGGTCTGGTGTAATTTGGTACAAATGCATTCCCTCTTACACAGGGATCATAGGATCACAGGAACATAGGGCTGGAAGGAACCTTACAAGGGTATCTAAATACAGCTCCCTGCTAAAGGCAGGATCTTCCCTAACTAAACCATCCTAGCCAAGCGTCTGTCCAACCTGCTCTTGAAAACTGCCAAGGATGGATGTTCCACAACTTCTCTAGGCAGCCTTTTCCAATGCTTGACAACCCTCATAGTCAGAAAGTTCCTCCTAATCTCCAACCTAAATTTCCCCTGCTGTAGCTTGAGGTCATTGCTCCTAGTTTAGCTCCCCTTGGCCACAAAAAAAGCCATCTTCAGCCTCTCTATAATCACTGTACAAGTAAGTGAAGACTTATGAAATCCCCCTTGCATGCTTCTCTTCTCCAGACTAAATTACCTTAGCTCTTTTAGCTTTTCTTCATTGGTTGTGGCCTCCAGACCCCTGGTCCTTATTTGTTGCTCTACACTGGACTCCTTCCAAACTGTCCACATCCTCCTTGAAGTAAAGGCCCAAAACTGGACACAGTACTCCAGGTGAGGCCTCACCAGTGCTGAAGACAGCAGAAGAATCACTTCCCTTGATTTGCAAGTGATATCATTGTTAATACAACCCAGTGTACTGGTGGCTTTTTTAAGCAACAGCACACTTTTGGCTCATATTTGGCTTATGGGTCAACCATAACCCCTAGGTCCTTCTCTGCAGTACTGCAGTCCAGCCACTCATTCCCCAGTCTGTATTTGTGCATGCAGTTATTTCATCACAGGTGCAGGACTTTGTACTTATCTTTGTTAAATCTCATCTGATTGATTGTGGAGTATTTCTCCAGTCTATACAGGTCATTCTGAAGCAGGTTCAGCTGGACAGGGTCACTGTGCCTCAAGCCAATAGCAACGGGGCCTTCACAATGACAACAAATGCCCTTGTGGAAAAGCTCAAACTGTGCCCCATTGCTGGTTCATGTCCATTTCTATGCTACCTGGTGGCCTTCAAGCTCTTCTGGTGATGACATTGCCTTGAGATGGCCGAAAAAATACATGGAAACCACATGCATTGAATAAATTCTGGAGCCTAGCCCTACCTTCCAGAGTATCCCCTCAGAAAAAGACCAACAGGAGTGTTATAGTTTAGGATTGACTACTTAACTAGACTGATAACAACCCAAGACTTCACAACATATTGGATAAATCAGTATTTTAGAGAAGTAAAAAGCCTGCTTTTTCTTCTTTTTTTAAATCTGACGATTGGAATGGCTGCTTAACATCACTCTAGAAATCTTCATGTTCTTGTACTAACTAATAACATATAAGTGTTGCTGAAATCCTAGAACACAAAGAATTTGCTTTTGGGCAGAGATCTAGTTTGCCAGGTCTCAGTCTGGAGCAGATTTTTACAGCTATGTCATATCATTCTGAAAACAGGATTTATAATGGAAATACTGACACAGCCTTAACTCTAACAGAGTTAACTGCACAGCCCAGCACTCATAAAGCAATTTTATTTGTGCCGAGACACCCCAATTTTAATTTTTCTTTATATTCTAGTGGAAATCTAAACACTGGGGGGGCTGACAGGGCTTAATGCAAGGAGTTGTTTAAAACAAATGCATTAAAAAGAAAAAGCACAAAGGCACCCCTGATTTTTCTACTGATGTTGATATTGATTGTCTTTAGAACCATGAGGAAAGGGATGGTCTCCCACACTCCTATTGGGTTCCCCCTTCAACACTGTACAAACCTCCTCTCCCCTCAAAGACTGTACTGCAGCCATTGCCCTCTCTCAGTGGGATTAAATGAGATTCCCTTAAGGGCCAGTCAGCAGCATCCTTAACTACCATATGAAATCAGAGCTGAACAAAGAAGTGGTCCCTTTCCAACCTCTTGCCCTTTCCAGTATGAGAAACAAGGACCTAAGACATGAAATCTAGTCTCCAACATTGGGTCAGCAAACTCTTATGCAAGTACTTAATTTTAAGAATGTAAGTACCCTCCCTGAAATCAAAGGGAGCATATATGACTCCAAGACCTGGGGCCAAGGTGATTATGGGGTTGTGGCACCCTAATTTATAAAATATAAAATATAACCCTAAACAAACTAACAAATAACCTTAAGCAAACAAATAACCATAGGTAACTATGCTGTAGTGTTCATAGCTCAAAGGTTTAAAGCTTGGATACTTAGCTACCCTATCAGAGATATAAAGGGCAGCTAAGCATCCAAGCCACACTGAAGATGAACGGGAACTGGGCACTTCAGCACCTATATACCCCTCCCCATCTCCACCCTACATTTTACAGATAAATTTATCATTCAGATTAGAACTGAAAGGTGCCAACATTTTGCTAGGACTAGCATTCCACTTACAATGTTCACATCTTTACTAACATTCCCTACTTCTTCCTAAAAATAGGCTAAAATATTACAATATAGATACTGTAATAGTGGTCAGAGACCTCATTAAGGTCAAGGCCTCATTGTGCAAGGTGCCATAGAAACATATAGTACATGACAATGCCTGCCTCAAACATCCTAATTAGCAGCAGCCTTCACCAGCTTTACTGTGACATTAGGTTGTTAGCCAAGAACAAGGCACCTTTATATTCCTAATAGTCTTTTTTATGTGAAAGTTCTGTGTTCAGTAAAACAAATATTCAAATATAACAATAAAATGGAAATGTTTCCAACAATACCACTCATTTCCTAGCGTGCTGAGAAAAATATAAATAGTGGCACTGTAAATCATAACTCCTAGAAGCTGAAATGAAATGTCAGGTTCAGAGTACGAAAAATACTTTGGTTAATTTTATATTAGCAGCAAAGGTCTGGAAGTAGTATATTACATGTCATTTGATTCAATATCACTGTTTGCCAGACATAGAAAATCTGAAATGTCACTTGTAGACACTCTAACAACAATCCTGAAGGAAGAAAAGCTGCGAGCCTGCCTTATTGTTATAAATCACCATGAGATGGTTTCAGACAATCAAATTGCTGGATTAGGGGAATATTCTTAGCCCTCTAATGAGGAATAATGGGGCCTCATGCAGTTGAATGAGTTTCGTAACAATGGACAGTTTCCTCTCTGACTTACAGGGGAGGAAAGATGATCATTATGTATACACCATTTTTAATTATGCACTTTATGTACTTTTCAGTGATTTATACATTTCACAAAGGACTCCACAAAAGGTTCGTCTCTATCTGAAGCAGTGTGTGCTCACTGGTGTGGTGTTAGGGAACATCAGAAACACTTACAGCTTTGCAAAATATCAGTGTAAATCTGAACCAAATCCTGCTCTCAAGTCAATAACAACCCTTACATTGATTTCGTTAGATTTTGAACCCTACCCTTCAAAACTGTAAAGGCTACCACATAAATT